TTATAAATGGATACTAGACGAGCCATATTAATTTTAGCCATATTAGTATTAGCCATATTAGTATTAGCCATATTAAATATTCAAAACTTAGGTCTTGAATACTTACTCTTTTTGATAGCAAATTCAGTGATGCGTATTTAACGACTACCACTATTGAATCCAATTGCATTTCTACCTTATCTTTATCCAAACGCATTTTGTTTTCACTTAAGAGTTAAAAAAAAATAATATTTTATTACATTTTTTTTGTGACAAATCAGGTTTTGTTTGTTAGCTCCTCATAATTTTACTTAAACGTTTATTATGGGAAAACAATGTTATAAAGTGTGTTCAAATTTTAATTGCCTTTTAAATTTTTTAATAAAACACATTTAATAAGCAGATATTTTTATTGAATATTAAAGTAGACGTATGCCAGTTAACAATTGAAAAGAATGTCAGATAAGTGACCACCACTTGCAGCTTTACAGGCCTCCAATATTTTTGTACAATTTTTTTAACACATGATGACATAATTATGGTTAAATTTGAGTAATTTGCTCGGTTATGTTTTTTTCAGATGTTAAATGGTTTGAGGATTATTAGCGTAAACTTTACTTTTCAAAAGAAAATCTAATGATGTTAAAAGAAATCTAATGGTGTCAGATAACATGGACTTGGTGACCAGTTGATAGTTCCTTTTCGAGAAGTTATTCGATCATCAAATTTCTCTTTCAAAAGATTGATTGTTTTTTTTTGCTGTATAAAATATTGGCCCGTCCTGTTGAAGCCACATACTGTGGCCCGTCCTGTTGAAGCCACATACTGTGGCCCGTCCTGTTAAAGCCACATACTGTGCACATCAATATGTTTCAATTCGTCAAAAAAAAATTACCAATAATTGTTATATAACAAGCCCTATTCACAGTAACAGAGTGTTCAGTTTATTTTCAAAGAAATATGGACCAATCAATCCACCAGACCAAAAACGATACCAAACAGTTACTTTTTGTCATCATCAATAGAGTTCACTTAGTTAAAAAAATCTGATATATTATGGAAGTATTGTAATATATCACAGCAAAAAAAATTATTATGTTTAAAGTTAAAAGTAATATACAAAAATAATATGTTAATATTAAATCAGCCGCTTATTTTAGTTAAAATTTTAATCACTTACTTTTTAAGACATAATCTGTTTTTTTCAGTTTAACCCTTAAATTAGAAAAAAGTATTCACGTTAATGTTAATTTTAAATCAGTCAAGTATTTACTCGTTAAGTATCGAGTTATAACTATATATTTGGTCCCCCCTCCTTCGCCCGCAAAAAAAGTAGCGGGGTTCTACTTCCTGAAATCTTTTTATTACATTTAAAAATAAAATGTGCAATATTCACTTATTATATCAAGTTAATAAAGCACAATTAAGTATATAAATAATGTATATTTTATAAATTAGAGAAAGACCCAAAAATCTCTGGTTCAAATAATTATAAAAAAAAAATGAACATCGAATTTATGTATGAGGGAAGCATATTTAATATCAAAAATTAACTTAACTTTACTTATGACCGAACTTTTAAATTCATAAAAACTATACTACCTTCAGACGTAGTAATTTTCAGAATGCTATCAACAATATAAAAAAGAATTTGAAGAATATCCTAAGAAATTATTTATTTATTTAACTACCTTAAAAATGAATGTTTCTTGTCTTCTTATTCGCAAATTCCGCAATTACTATATGTAATTCTAATATTTGTGGTTTTTCGTTCTGCCAAAATTGCACAATTTTCGAGATGTTCCTGAGACATGCAATTTCTTAAAAATGTTTTGACTTTAAATTGTTAAAGAATCTTCATTACCTAGCAACTGTCACAGGTATTGTCATCGATAGCAATATTGCTATTGATGACATCTTAAAAATTGTACTAGAGAAAAAACTTTTGATGAGCAGTATGTTGGCTGATTCTTTTATTATAGTCGTTTCTTTGATATTTTTTTAAATAAAAATGATTGCATAAATTAATTGGGTTGAAAATTTTTTTTTCAAATTGTCTGGGTATTTCTATTGTATTAAATTTGCTGATTCAATTAAATCATCTGCAAAAAAATTTATTAAATTTTGAGGTTGCGTAAAATTAAAAAGATTTAAAATTTTTCCGTTTCAGTAAATCTATCAATAATATTTATATAAGTTACTTTTACTTAACTCATGAAAATGTCTTTTTTATTCGAATTACCTCTTAAACATAAAAGTTATATTTGCCAATTACTGCAAATACAAGTCTAATTTAATTAAACCGCAATTTAATCAAAAATCTTTACACATGAATTTCAGAATTACAAAATAATGATCAGCTATCATTTCGTGCGCTCTATTGCAAGTAGAACGCGTCAGTCCATTGTGAATCAAATATTTTTCAAATCAAGTATTTAAGTCATTCCAAGAGATATTTACTAATTATAAAACAAAAATATTATTATTATGTAGGGTAAACAGTACAGTTATTGGACAGGGACAGTTATTGGACATTTAGAACTTATGTTTAAAAAATAAGACTAGATTTGAAAAAACTTGTACATGTTTCCGCCATGTCTTTGTAAACAATTTTGCCATGCGTACAATTTCTTCTTTACCGGCTAACTCTGCAATATTTATGTCAAAAACGTGTTTTGTTGTGCTGTACTGTGTGCACACTAAAAAAAAGGTAAAAAATTCTACCTTAGGGTAGGATATGTGATATACCTTTAGTAAGGTATAATTTTCTACCTTTAAAGGTTGAAAATTATAATAAAAACAATTATTTGCCATAGAATTTTTTACCTCAAAGGTATAAATTTTTACATTAAAAGGTAGAAAATTATACCCTACAAATTGTATATCACATATCCTACCTTAAGAAGAAATTTCTACCCATTTTTTTAGTTTGTGCGCTTTTTCGTACAAAATTAGTAAAGATTTAAATTTTTAAAACGGAAAGATAATGATAATATTTCATTTGGAAATATGTACAAAATATAGTTATAAAAAGTGTATGAATTTTAAATAATCATAATCCATGGTTCTAATTGCTCATGTGTCTATTAACGATACTTTTCAGGGACACTTAAGGTATTACTCAACATCAAGTGGGTCTTTTATACATAGTGTATAAATACTCGCTGTGAAATTATGAAAAATCTAACCGTTTTACAAAAAAAAATATTTTAACAAAAAACACGCATATCTCATATTAGTACTTATGTCACATTTAGTGAATAAAAAACCTAATATTTAGTTATTACTTTTATCGATTAACAGTAAAAATTGCCCACTAAGAAGTACTGTTTATTTGTGATTTTTTTCTTGTTCCCAGGTATATATAATTTGTTTTTAATCTTTTCAACTTCAATGTTTACTGCCTTGCACTACTCTGCTAATTTCTTTATCCTTAAACTACTGAATACCACTTTTTTCGGAAATGAATCGAATACTTTAAATAAGTTGTATGGTTCAATTTACTAGCTGGATAATCAAGTCACCGGTTCTTTTTTTTAAAGAAAATCCGCAGATGGTAGAAAATACATAGGATATTTACAACCGTGCTCCCCAACCGTAATCGCCTCCCCCAATAAAAAAAAACAAAACAAACAAAAAAAAATCTGTATCCATAAACTATTTCTTTTTATTAAAAAATCTTTTTTAATTGATATCAATGAATATGTATATAATATATAACAGCGATCTTAAATTTTATGACGTATTAATAAGTCATTAGTGTAGAGATTTTAAACCGATTTGAATGTGTCATCCATTTTAACCTAAAGAATTTTGAAGGGAAACGCACAATAGAATACACAAATCTAATTTTTCAAATAGCTAAGTCCCTCAGTAAGGTTTGTTTTAAAATGGGAATGAAAATGCGGGATGTAGAAGTCCACTTTTTAAAAAGTTTTTACTTTTTACTTATTTTACTTGCTTTACTTATTTTATTTTACAACTAATTTTAAATTGTTTTATAAGATCTCTTGTTTTTACTTTTTTCAAGTGCCGTCAACCCCAGGTAATCCTCAGAGGTTTTCTTTAGTAATCTGATCGAGTTTGTCAATATTGTCGCTTAAATAGAAAATTGTGAACTTTAACTCAAAATATTTAAAAAAGAAAGAGTTGTGTCTCTAAATAAAACAAATAATTTAACTGTGCTGCGGTTCTAAAAGTCCTACTGTAACAATAGTTTTATCCATATTATGCAAAAATACCAGCACTGTATAATTTTGAAGTTTTGCTGCTACGTAACCATTTAACGTAACGCATCTTTATGGAAAATTTTGACCCACTGTTATTGCAATTTCTTAGTCCTCTCTTTTCGCTACGCATACCCGAGTTTTTTTTTTTTAACAAAAGAAACTCATTTTAACTCGGTCAAATTAAAATTATTTGCTATTTTTTCAACTAATACAATTCTATTAATATAAAATTAAGTGTTAAAATGTTTAAAGTGAGTTTTTGTCCCCAACCACTTCCTCCTCCGTTGCAAAACGAATGAATCACATCCAAAAATATTTTGTCAGAAATACACTGTAACTTTAAATTATGAAAACTTTAAGTTTATAAAAAATTAATTTAAATTCACTTGGAAAATTTTTTCAATTGTTCAGATATTTTTTGTAAATATTCTACTAAATTGAACATTTGTTGAGCTGCGTTAAAATAGAAAATAAAATTGTATGTTCTTCATTCTTGTAAAAAAGGGGAAAAAATAAAAGAAAATTTATATTAAATAATTTTAAATAAATTGAATAGTTCAAACTGTTTTTTCAAATTGAGGACTTGGCAAACTTTTTTTTCAAACTTTGTTTCAAATTGAGGACCTGTAGTACTATAAGGTTGCATATCGGAAATTACAAAGACAATAATGATTATATAAATAAACATATTTTCTCACAAAAAAAAATACTGGTATTTTTTTGTTGTATAAAAATTATTTCACAATTTTATTATAAAAAAATATTTAAAAAAACTTATATGGATCTGATGCTATAAAATAATTATACAATTTTTACATTTTGATATATAAACATGGTTTACTTAAAAATAAATATAAATGAATGGAAGAAAAAATGTAATTGATGTATTGTCGTATGGTTATAATCATCATATATTCATTTTAATTATATCTTTAAGCTTATTATATGAAGAATGTGGAGGGGGTTAAATTACAAGCTACACCACTGTTTTTCATTATTAAAAACAATTTTATTTACAAAAATATAAACAAATACAACAATTAATAGAAAAAGATAATTAACAACGCCACCAAAAAACTTATTTAATTATTACAGTAAGATTGATTCAGAAATATTAGTCTAAAATAGAACGCACTTTACCAAAATTCATTCCAGATTGGCTGGCTCCTTTATTGGAACCCATTTGTAACCCAATAATTTTTTTACCTTTGTCTAGTTGCTCGTTTGTAAAACTTCTAGGGTTTCTTTTAGATTCCCTCGGCCCTAATATTGGCCCATCGTACCCGTGATCTTGAGCTTTTCTTCCTAAAGCATGTATTGTATCTATAACATTCTTAATATTAACACTGTCGTATAAATCACTAGTTTGAAATAAATCCTCGTTTTTAAGTCCATACTCACGACAAGCATTTAAAAATAGCTGAATGTTCTCCATGCATTTAAAAGGTGTGTTTGGAGAGTTAATTTTTTTAATGAGTTCAGGAGATAAAGCTTGCATAACTTTACATAAATAAACCCCATCTTTTAAGATGGCGGCAGTGTTATTCATTCCTTCAATACCTAAAAACACTTCTCCTTCATCAATAACAGCCTCCATCCAACACAACGCGTCTTGTTCGTCTTCGTAGTTATACTTTTTTTCATTTTTGCGTTTAATTTCAGCCGTAAGTCCGTAACCAAGAGGTCTGTTTGCCATTTCTTTGAGAAGACTATGAAAACTTTTCAAAATTTGCTTCTAGACTTTTAAATGAAAAACAATATTCAAACATAGTTTCAACTAATATGAACTTTAAATTTGTATTTTAAATATTTCGTTTTTTGTTTTATAATTTCGTATAATACCTAAACGTTTCTTGCTGCGCGTTGTAAAAAAAACAACATCCGTTTGCATTAAGATGATTATTTTTGTACTCGCAGCAAAAACCATGTAAGCATAATATAAAAACTATATTTTTATTAACCTACATGTTTCTTACTGCGAGTATAAAAAAGAAACATCCATCACAGAGTTATTTTTCTCGGATGTTGTATTTGATTTAAGCATTTTTTAAATTAAATAAGGAAGGAAAATTATGTTTAAAAGTTTGCATATCGATTTAATTTATACAAATTAAAGTTAACGTACATACACAAATTAAATAAGTATGCATCATATTAAACAAAAAAGTTTTTTTATGTTTTACAAAATCTGCTTCCCAATGAGACTATACATTCTTCTATTGAAATTATCAACAAAAAAAATCCTTTTTGTTCATCAGATTAGTTTTTTAAAACTTAAAGCCAAATAATTAATGTTCTCATGATCTAAATATATAAAATGTTCTATTCTAGATTTTGTTAAAAATAAAAAATAATTATGCTGATTTATTTGATTGTGCAAAAAGAACATCGGACAAAATCCTTGGACCTAATAAAATAAGCGCAATGTGCTTTTTGTAAGTACAAAATATTGAGCGTAAAGCGTGGTTACGTCAAAAAAGTGTTTTTTTTAACCATGATCAAATTATTTTCAACTAAGACAAAGTAAAGATAGAAAAGAAAATTTCTGCAACAAAGACTCGATTATCTAATTACTATTTTTAATAGAAATCAAGGTTATTTGGTTTTAATTTGACAACTAATTTTAATTTCAACTAAAACAAAGTAAAGATAGAAAAGAAAATTTCTGCAACAAAGACTCGATTATTTAGTTACTATTTTAAATATAAATCAAGGTTATTTGGTTTTAATTTGACAAAAAAATGAAAAATTTTCTAGGTTCAACCACAAAATGATTGCATAAAAGTAATGTTAAAAATTATTTTATTTACAATGGATTATATGTGTGTGTGTGTGTGTATATATATATATATATATATATATATATATATATATATATATATATATATATATATATATATATATATGTATATATATACACACACACACATATAATATATATATATATATATATACACACACATATAATATATATATATATATATATATATACACACATATAATATATATATATATATATATATATATATATATATATATATATATATATATATATATATATATATATATATATATATATATATATATATATATATATATATATAAATAAATGAAAATTAACTTTAACTTACTAAAGCATAGATAGCAATCAAAGGTAAGGTAGCTTATAATAAACATGACTCTTCTTACAAATATTGACGTGATCAGTTTCTTAAAAACCTTGGAGAGTACAATTTCATTTTTTTTGAATACCAAAACAGAAATGGCATTTTCCAAATATGAAAAGAAAGAAAAGAAAGAAAAAATCGGATAATTGCAAATAAACTATAACCAGTAATATAAAAAATATATAATCTATAATATTGCTTTTTTAAAACATAATTATAAGTATACCAGACAATATTATACGTACTAAATGTGTATTTACGTATAAAAATACGTAAGATACGTAAATTTACGAACTTACATATTTAATAATGCGCATCTCTTAATCCTTATGTATACATATTAATACGTATTTAAACTTAAAAATAATATGCAAATTTTGGAATATGTTATTTTTACGTATTACAAAATATTAATGCAAAATTTATATTATATTTTGGTTTGCATTTAACAATGTTAGCAAAACATTTAGACTTTAGTCTTTTTTTATAAATGAGAAAAAGGTACATTTCCTTAAAAAAGCGTCTTTTTTTAAGCAATTATATTATATAAGTGAGTACTTAATACCTTTTTGAAGGCAATTTTTAATTAAAAAAAAAATTCACTTAAATTACGTAAAATGATTTTAACTATAATCGTAGTGATAATAGAAGTAATAATTTATACAATATATACGTTACAATATTTAACTTATTGATATATAGTACTGTAAAATGGAAACCCATTTTAAACATTGAGAAACAGTGGAGTAAGTAGAAAAAAAAACTTTATAAACATATATAAGAATGCAAATTTATGTAGGAATTTAATAATTACTTTTTTACTAAGTTAACACTTCTGAACTTGTCTAGTAAGTCTTTCTATATTCTACGCAAATATGTAAAAAGCTTTGTAAAAGAAAGTTTTTACATTAATTTTTAAAAAAATTTTACGGTTGTTTAAGGTATAATATTTCTCGAATATTTTTTTATTAAAAAAATCTTTTTAACAAAAAATTAAATGTATCCTGAATAACAACTATGTAATAGGATTTTAAATAATGCAAAATAAATTTATTAGTTGCCATGGTTACCAAATGAAATGACAGACATCCATGTTAAGGCCACCCCGACAATTGTCAGTAACTCAAAGCATATAGGATATGTTTGTTGGCATATGATTAACAACATAGTAATCTAGAAACGAACTAAAGTTGTTCTAAAAAACAAAGTATTTAAGATATGCTGAATCTTTCAAAATGTATTTAAAAAAATGCATTTTTGTGAAATAAATCTTGTATAAAAACCTTGTAAACTTTTAGTTCCAATTGTACAACTAGGTGCAATAAATGTTTGGTGAAAATTTCATGCAAATCTGAAATACAGTTAATGAGATAGGATGGCCAGGAGGTTAATAATTGATTTGAGAAAAAAGCATTTAAATATTACATTAACAATTTAACCAAATCATAATGTCAAATACTCAATTAAAATCTGTTATTTATTTATATTATTATCAGGATCATATAAACAATCTTGGTCATTCTCTGTGTTATCTTTTTTTTGCATCCACAAATAACTTTCGTCACTTTTTAGATGTTAATCGATTTTGAAACTCTTCGGAAATTAAATCCTTTTTGTTCATGGTTGAACAGCCTTGAAGAGTATATATACCAGGAATCATATTCAATTTTTCAAATAAAAATATACTTGCTTTTCTTCCAATATTAACATTTGATGCAGCATCGTATACACCTAACTCCAACAGCGTTAACTTTGTTTTAGATATGCACTGCCATATCATCCCATTAAAACTTTCGTTCTGGTTTTGCATCTTACCATAAATGCATTTTTTTAAAAGTTCTTCTTGAGATAGATCTATATATACAGGCTTTAGATGACTGATGACTAAAATTGGAAGACCAGCACCTAGTTTTAAAGTAGATGTTGAATTAGTTTTGTCCTGTTTTTAATGGCATTTAAAATGGATTCTTAAAATAAGAATAGCTGTTAAAATCGCCATTACCATAATACACACCTTAGTTTATTTTGTGAAATAGAACGACCAAATCAGTAGCGTAGCGAAGAGACCGCAGGGCCCGCAGCCGCGGGATGGTCCGAGTTATAAGGGGCTCGATCCAAAACTTTCAAGTTATTTTTTAAAAGTTTTCATTCTTAAAACTAATATGCATGTATACAAACATAGCAACATTAGCAATTTTTGCTATTGTTATATACCTAAGAACTAAAAACTTTTCAAACTATTTTTTTTTAGCTTCAATAACAATCTTAACTAATACTTCAAATAGTGAACTTTTTATTTGTTTATATCTAAAAAATTAAAACAAAATGTAATAACTCATAAATACACAATTTAGTTAAGTGGTAAGCATGATGTCGTTAGGTTTAAAGGCAAATTAAAATAGTGAAGCCATTGTATTAAAAGAATAACTCGTTTTGAAAAAAGAGATTGCTGAGACGGACGTCTCAGATAATAAAATGTCTTCTGCAAATTAACATGGCTTTATTGCTTTTATTGGCAAAGTAACATGGCTTTTAATTTAACATGGCTAAGGTTTAAAATTTTGCGGGAAGGCTTTTTTTTTTTATCGCTACGTTACTGGACCAAATAATCTTTGTGTAACAATTACTTCCATGCCAAGAGCAGAGCCTCGATAATGTAATCTACAAACATGTGATGACTTATAAGCTTCAAATCCACAAGTATTATAGTTTTATTTTTTTTCCTAGAACATTCCTATGAAGTTGTCTCAATTTTCTCAATTTTATTTTTTGAAGATATAGATAAATTTAAGGAAGTGTTACAAAAAATATGGTCATTTTCATAACTAATAACAGGAGCAACTGATAAAGTTGAACATGCCTTCCCGGCCCCACGACACCGAGGAGACCGGGGAGGCTTGTGCCCTTCCTTTTTTTTTCTATTGGACCTTTTTTTTTTAAGAAAATACTAGATATAGAAGACTTTTTTATAAATTGACGATTGTGCCCCCCATCCCCTATTTCGAAACCAGTGTCGTTGGCCCTGAATATACAAACATGTTGTTAGGACTTCATATAAAAAACACAGTATCGAAGCTAATACTACCTCTTATTACAAAAAGAACGCCATATCTGACCTAAAAAATGGTAAAAGATTGTGCCTTTTTTAAATATTGTAAATTACAAAAAGACTATCATGACTGACAACCGAGTAAAACGTTAACCCAGGGCCCAGAAAAATTATAACAGAAAGGGAGACAAAATAACTGAAAAAGTATTGAATTTGTTACAGGCGTCCATATCTGTCATGTTTTCTGCACTATATTACCATCTTATGTGGCTCTATATTACCATCTTATATGGTGTATAAAGTTTTACATTTTTATCAAAGCTTGGCAGAATCAGAACTTAAAACAGGACAATATAATAGGATAAAATCTGGATGGTTTGATTTTTTTTTTACGATGGTTTTTTAGGAACAAATATAAAACGAGTGTTGCAAACAAATTATTTCACAATGACTGACAAAGAATCTTTGATCTTCACAAAAGATGTGATTCAAATATTGTTTTCACCAACTCTAAAATCAAAATCTTGTTTAAAAAACATTTTAAAGATATAACAACTGATGTTACACATTATTAAAACTTTTCTATAGTACTAGTTATACGTTACTTTATATTATCTATGGTATATATGAGTTTTTTTGTTTATTTATTAAACTTGTGTAGTTAACAAGACATTATAAATTTTTTTCGTTTTATCTCGCCTAATGTTTAAAAAGATACAAACATGAGTTTAAAAACCTGTTTCTACACACCCCATTCTGTAGGGTTTTTTCAATTTATTTTAATGGTTTCAAATCAAAAACCTTAATATTAAATATAATTATTATTATGTAACAATCATAAAATTAGTAAACTTAATAGTAAGAATAATAAATGTTAAATAAGTAAATAATAAGAGTTTTAAAAATAGATTTATATTTTACAACTAAATGAGTTGGGTTAAAATAAACTGCCCTATAAGTTGATATTGCTGGTGATAACAGGTTTATCTAATATGACCTCAGATGTGGTCACAGAATTGTCGTTTTTCTCACGTTCTTATAATTTCTCAATCCATTTAATGAGCCAGCTGTTAAAAAAAATCCATGCAAAATTCTATAAATTTCAAATTTATTATACGCACATTTTTTCACACGGTCAATTATATGTTGCATGTTCAAGAACAAGATCGTTTAATAGTTTGTTTTTTAAAATTGATAAACATTCATTACAAGGTATGTCATTAAACAAATTTTACACACAAAATATTGTATTTACAAATGTTACAAAATATTGTATTTACAAAATATTGTATTTACAAATGTTACAAAATATTGTATTTACAAAATATTGTATTTACAAATGTTACAAAATATTGTATTTACAAAATTTACTCAATTTATAAACTATTACTTTTGTTTTACTACTTGAGACACGACATTTTGACAAATAATCACAAAAAGCACAACCAATTTTATTTTTGACTTACTGTTTTTGTTGTTGGTTAGAAAACCAGTCTTTGATACTGATTAAAAAACAGTCTTTGATAGTGAAATAAAACCAGTCTTTGATACTGGGAAAAAACCAGTCTTTGATACTGGTTAGAATACAAATTTGACAAATTTGTTATACGCTCTGTTTTATGAAACGCTAATTTAGAACTGCACCTAAATGCAAATTTAGACTGTAAAATACTCTCAACCTCTCAACCTATTTCGAGGCCTAGAGAACATTACGAATTTCAAAAAAGCTCACGGTTATCATGGATCCTAGTAATGCCAACCTAGCTCAGCTAATGCCACTTTTATAGAAAGATATGTTACACATTAAGGTACTCTATGATGCAAGTTTTGAAACCGCGAAAAAAAAATTAGTTTGAATGTTCAAATTGAGTGAAATTTCGACTTCATAGTGCCCCAATTAAAACATCCATAGAAGGAATACTATATAATTTGATAAATATTAGTGCAAATCTAGCTTATGGCCGCACCAAACTCTTTATAAAATTTCAGTCGGGTTAGTTAACTGGTTGAAGATTTATGACAGTTTTAGTTTTTTTGCAACTTATATCTCAAAACATTACTGTGATATTTAGCCACTATTTTTAAAATAATAGTTACACGAGTGTTTTACAATGTAATACCAACAATTTTTATAAT